CAGGGGTCCAAGATTATCTTCTGTGTCTGTGTTAATTGGTTTCCCTTTTCTTTGTTGAAGAGGGTCTGTGCAATCCTTCTGCCTAGTCCGCCATCTTAAACGTGTCAAAATTTATAATATGTTTTGCTAAGTCCATTTTATTTCTCCAAGACAACATGGTAGGAAATACATATTTGCTGAGTGTCAGGACCGTTGATAGATGTTTTACATATTTTATTTCACCTGATATTTATAAAAATCCCATGGGGTAGATAATGTAATTTTAACTTCATAGAGAAGGAAGCTGAGCTGCCAAGATTCTGAAGAGCTTGCCAAAGCCCAGCTATTAAAATGGAAAAATCATGTCACACTGATTCAAAACCTCATGCGCTCTACACTGCATTCCACATTGTCCCCAGGAAACTTTGAATTCTTCATATGTATTACATGATCTCATTTATTAAAGTTACTTAGTATATTGAGTACTTGTGATGTCAGACCAAAAGAACTAAACTTGCTACTGGGTCTTCAGCTCCTTCTTAAAACCCAATTGCCATGGAGTCAACTCTGACTCATGGCAACCCTATGTGTTTCAATGTAGAACTATGCTCCATAGGATTTTCAATGGCTCATTTTTCAGAGTAGATTTTTGTGAGATGCCTCTGGATGGACTTGAACCTCCAAACTTACAGTTAGCAGCCAACAGTGTGTTAACCACAGACATCACATAGGGACTCCCATCTCCCTCTTAAAGATGTGTATTTCCCTATGCACCATAGATTGAGGTTGAATTCTCCATGAGGACCAACTACCATGGCTGCTGCTACTCTTTTCTGCTCTCTCCCTAGGTAACCCTGTGAAATGGGAGGTACTGTGAAAAGTAATCCCTTTGGTATGTAACCACAGACCTCCTTGCCCTTCCCTCCTCTTTCAGGATAACCTTGAAGGGATGTTTCAGTGGCTTCTGCAGAAACACCACAAGGAAGAGGTTCTCCGGGCTGGGCTGTGCATGGAAGGTGCCTTACTGCTTCTGGAAATGCTTAAAGCTACCATAAACCAGGTGAGACCCTGTTCTTCATATACTCCCTAGGAAGAACAATTGAAAGGGTCACCTTTTCTTTCCCAGGTGCTCCCACATGTGCCAGTAATTAGCAAGCATTGTTTCAACTCTTTGATAAAAGAAGCAAGACAGGTTCTTGTGATAACTTAAATGCACAAGGGGAATCCCAGCCTCTAGATTCCCAATGAGCTTTATGTTCTCTTGACTGCAGATAACTGTTTTCTGTTTGTTTAAACATTTGACTTTCTCCACTGAGACATCTAGTGCCTTCAGTCAAAGGAAACATTTCTGAGCAGCTGCTTTAAATCAGGTGGTGTGGGGCCCTATGGAGAAGGAGTATGATGCTTCTCCCTCAAGGTCCTCACCTCCACCAGGACAGTAAAATGTGAGGTAGAGAATAAAGCATGGTGTAGAGAAGAGAGGTTGCCATCAACTATCAATTTAACACAGAGAGTCTTCTGGAATGAATAGCATTTGATTTAAATCTTCAAGGTCCATTACAGGTGGGTGGAGAGGTATTTCAGACATGGAGGGGTGTGTGTATGTGTGTGTGTGTGTGTGTGGTGGGGCAAAGGCCATATGGTTTGATGAACAGGAGTAATTGTCAGCAAGATCAACAGGAACTTGAGTGAAAGGCAGAAAAATTCCAACTTTATTCTTTAGACACCAAGGATAATTGGAGGCTTGATTGTGTGAGGAGAAACTTTATTGCTTTTATCAAATTAGACACGATTATTTTTAAATTTTAAACAAAAGAGAAAAGTCAAAAGTAAAAATCACTTGATATGCATTTACCTAAGATGACCACTATGAACTTTAATGGGAAATCCTACCACACACTTCCCTCAACTTGTACCCTGTCTTTAAGAGGATTAGACTACATGCCTTTTGTCTTTTTCCTTAAACCTGTTCTGGATATCTTTCCAGGTCAATAAACAAAGATGAGAATCATCTAACTGACAGATGAAAACTTGCATTATTTTTGAGTTTTCAGTTTTATAAAAAGTCTATAATGAACTTTGTTGAGAACACATCATTTTTCTCTAGTTCGATGATCTTGTTAGTGCAAATCTAGTGACATGGGATAGCACCTGTAAGTGTATTTCATGCCCTTTTCTTTTGGATGCTATCTTGCATGAGAGTGCTGATTCTCACAACATACACAACTCAGCAAAATTGATGATGAATTCATAGTTGATTTCTTTTGCATTTAGTATTACTTTTTTCACTAGAAAACTCAATGCCTTCAGTCAAATGGTACATGTCTATTAACCTTTATTTTGTTGTGATTGACTACTTATGTCTTTTGCCAATTTTCCTGTTCTGATGTATTTATGTGCATACATACATGTATATGTTTATATTTGTTTGTAAGAATCCCTTATATAACATATTCTTGTTATATTACCTTTTTTGTTAGAAACAATTACTTGCTGTTTTTTAAGCTGATTGTTGTTGTTGTTGTTATGTGCCGTCGAGGTGGACCCGACTCATAGCAACCCCTCCTTGGTTTCCAAGGCAGTATCACTACAGAAGTAGATTGCTCCATCTTCCTTCCGAGGAGTGGCTGGTGGATTTGAACCACCAGCCTTCTGGTTAGCAGTCAAGTGCCTTAGCCACTGTGCTACCAGAGCTCCCAATTAAGCTGATAGTAGTTTAAATTTTTATGGAGTTAAATTTATCAACACTTACTAGGTGAGAGTACTATGGCAAAGTACACTCAGCACCGGGCTGTGGACTCCCACTTTCTGGGTTCCAATCCCAACTTTACCATAGAGGTAGAGGAAGTTACAAGTTACAAATTACTTAGCCCTCTAAGATCTGTATTTATTTGTAAAAATGGGGATTATAGTAGCTTCTTTTACATAGAGTATTGGGAGAAAACTTAGAAAAATTTACATGAAGAGTCTAGAACATAATTAGCCCTCAATAAATTCTAACTAATAATTATCATGGTTGCTGATTTTGTGACTTGTTCCTATTTCAAGATTGTAAGTATATTCATCCATTTTAAGTGTTTTTATGGTTCTATATTTTATACTTAAATAATTTATTTTATTGTAAGTGAGGTAAGGATTAAATCAAGTTAGACATGATTATTTTAAAATTTTAAACAAAAGAGAAAAGTCAAAAGTAAAAATCACTTGATATACATTTACCTAAGATGACCACTATGAACTTTAATGGGACATCCTACCACACACTTCCCTCAACTTGTACCTTATCTTTAGGAGGGGCTAATTTTTTTTCTTAGATGAATAGCCAGTTAGACCATTACTAACTAATATATCATTTTCCCACCAATTTGAAATGATGTTTTTATTATGTACTGAATTTCTAGACATACTTTGGTTAACTTTTTTACTCTGTCTTCCTTAGAGGTGATCAATCTATTTTTGTGCCAACTTTTAACCGTTATAATGTTACACTTCATCTGATAGGGCAGAACCAAACCAAACTCACTGCCAACAAATCGATTCTAACACATAGTGACCCTATAGGACAGAGTAAAAGCACCGCATAGAGTTTCCAGGGCTGAATAGTTACTGAAGCCAACTGCTTCATCTTTCTCCCATGGACCAGCTGGTGGGTTTGAACCACCAACCTACTGACTAGCAACTGAATGCTTTAACCACTGAACCACCAGTGCCCATCCTTATTATGCTTCTTTTCCAGAATTATCTACTGTACTTAGGATAACTTTTTTTTCAGTTAAAAATTATTTAGGGGTTTTGATGGATATTGTATTAATCTTACTGATTAAGGATAATTTGTCATACATAATAATGAATCTACCCAATAATAAATTTTGTCCCACCATATGTTTAAGTCTACTTTTTATGTTCACTGGTGGAATTTTATGGTTTCCTTCTATTTTTTGTTAATGTTTTAAGACATTGTATGAATTTTGTTAACATGATCTTTTCTTCATTGAATCTTCTAACAAGTTATTGTTTACATGTAGGAAAGCTACTGATTTTTGTATTTGAGTTTTGTAACTGATCGTCTTGCTTAACTTCTACAGTATTAAGATTACAAATTATTTTTCTTGGTTTTCCAGACATGCAGTCATATATTCTATGAGTGATTATTACTTTTTCTTACTCTTACCAAAGTTCATACCATTCTTGTCATTATTTTGACTAATTGTAATGGTTAGTGATTGTGGTGGTTAAGTTTGTGTGTCAACTTGGCTAGGTCTGGTTGAGTGGCTGGGCAGCAGGATGTAGTATTCCCCATGATGAGACTGGTAATCAACGCCATGGTGGAATCTACTCTGAGCATCTGAGTAGCTACCTTAGGGATGTGGTCTGCTTCCCATATATAAGAAACAGGTTTGGGAATGGTCTCTTGTTTATGGCATGCTTGAACCCTACATGGAGCCATGTTGTTCAGCAGCCTGCCATCCTCTGCCAAACTTGGAACTTACAATGGACTTAAATTAATGGCCTGCCATGTGGTTTGGTAACATCAGGACTGTGCCTTTTTACTAGTAAACCTTGGGCTTGGCAGCCTCAGCAGCCAGCAGCTGTCTGAGTGAAGAAAAGCCTCTAGCTCCACTGGGCCTCTAGCCCCTAGAGCCTGGCACTTTGAACTTGGACTTAAAGCCTCCAAACTGTAAGAGAATAAACTCCCATTTGTTAAAGCTATCCCATTTGTGGTATATCCTGTCAGAGTGGCACTAGGTAACCAGAACAATGTTTCCTTGAAAATGTTAAACAGTATAGGAGATTGTAAGTATCTTTGTCTTAGTTATTATTTGGTGGAGAAGTTCTAGATTTCATCATTAGTCCAGTGATTCTCACTGTTTTAATGCAGGTATGGGTGTGAGTGCACTACATAATTTCTCTGTGTGTATGATTATGCTAAAGAAGTACATATTGACACTTTTTGCTTTTTTTTTTCCTGAAAGAAATATATTTTAACAATAGATTTACATGCTTCCTTGCAAAGAATCTCAGTTACTATGTTCATATTCTTTAAAAATATTTCCTTATTCTGTTAGTAATTATTTTATTTATGACTTTTCTTGAAGATTTATAAATGACATGGAGTTGTACTTTTCTTTCTGCTGTATCTTTGTCAGGTGTTGGTATTGATATTATGCTAGAGTTATATTTTCCACCATTCATCTGTCAATTTGTCATACTGTGGTGGCTTGCATGTTGCAGTGATGCTGGAAGGTATGCTGCCAGTATTTCAAATACCAGTAGGGCTGCCCATGGTGGACAGGTTTCAGTGGAGGTTCCAAACTAAGACATACTAGGAAGAAGAACATGGCCAAGTCCACTTCTGGAG